TTTACATGACTCGATATAATTGAGCTCAAAGTTGCCGGTTTGGGTAGGCTTCTATCAAAGAAAATACGATAATTCAAATCCGTCAGACTATCGGGTTTTGAAAACATAATTTTTGGATATTCAAGATTAAATCTTATCTTTAAAGTTTAAATGTTTTTTACGGACTTTTGAAAGGTGCTCTTCCCCCTGCGAACTTCAGATCCTCTGTTCATTTAGGCTATTTTGTTCAATTCTGTAAAAGTCAAAAAACCTCCTTTTTCCAATTTATTATTTAGCAAGCAACCCGAATCCTTGAAAAACCCGGGAAGATCTTCCGATGAAATCATTTTTCCTGGTTGGTCAAACAACATATTCAATATTTTATGATGTTCTCAGAATTATAAAAGTTCAGTTGAATTTCAAACTATTTGACTTGTAGAGAACTTGTAATTTTAAATGTAGAATTTTAAATTTCAAACTGAATATATAAAATCTGCTACCCCCTTGTACCCTTGAATCGTTGTATCTTGGAAGCTCGAAATTTTGTAGAAACATAATTTTATGTTTGAATCGAAGCTACTCAAGTCAAGGTATTGTTATGATTATCCAACGACGTAATATTTCTTGCACAACGTTTTATATTTCATGAAATGAAGCAACTTTGAAAACTTAGCTCAAAGTTGATCACAAAATGTGAAACTTTGTCAGCTTACTGATGAGTATTTTGAATTTGTGATCTTCAAATTTGAGCCCAGTACAACGATTCACTCAAATTTCATGATAGAACAAACTTTAGTCCAAGTAAGTATGCGCCACCCGCTATAGTAAACCGATATTTATTTATCGTAGGAACTGAATACAAGCTTACAGACATGAAAATCAAATTAGAAGAAATCGAATTACAAGTAAAAGTGAAAATGTCTCAAGAGTATCATAAAAACGGCTAAAGAAAACATATTGGAAAAAAAGGAAAATGAAAAATGGAAATCCGATTTGACTCCTTCTTCTTTTTCTATACCGCTTTCGTCTAGTTATCATTTTCCCTTCTCAGGAGGATTCCGAATTGAGGTCAGCCAGGTGAAAACTAATGTCTCTTCTCTCTTCATTTCACTGTTCGTCGTCATACTGAAACGGGAAGAATGGAAAAGAAGAAAAGAAAACGTAGATCGATAAAACGGATCAAACAGTCGGATTTAGGGTGAAAAAGCATCGTGTAGAACAGGATGGCATGAATACTGTGCAGATCTCTGGTTCTAAGCTGTGGAACGGTTTATGGCTATTCACTTCGAAAGTACACCAATCAAAGTAGAAGATATCTATGTAAACTTGTGAAGTATAAAGAAGGATGGTGAATTTGAATCAGGATCAAAAATGGAACCATGATTTCGTACCTGATTCAAGAGTAAATAAAATCAGTGATCTGATGAAATCTGTTCAAACGTAGACTTTTGTGAACCTATCGGAAATCTCACTGTGTGTCGTTAAAAGTTTTTAAGTCCCATAAAGGTTTGTACACTACTAATTATTTACCACACAACTACTGAAAATTCAGAAGACAAAAACAAAAAGAGCATTTTTACACAGAGTGTGCTCAATTGATAAGCTCGGCTTAACTAGAAACTTAGAATTATGTCAGCAGGTTTTCCGAACATGTTTAAAAAATTGAATAACAATACATATCGTTCAGACAGCTTCCTAGGTACTATTGGACACTAACCAGTTGTAGTGATGGAGATGATATTTGGAAATTTTAGGTTACTTAAAAGTTTCAGGTCTTTTCCAATATTAGGTACTTTTCCAATATTAGGTTACGGATTACTGTGCGAATAACGGATTACAGTTTCCTCGATTCTGTTAGTAGCTTCTGTTTCAAGTATTTCCCATTAAAGATATCTAACACTTCAACTATGGCCCATAGTCTATGGCTTTTGCATGAAATGATTTTTTCAAATATTGTGTAAATCCATTTCTAGCACATTCCCACCGACTGTCCGAGATTTGCACTTTCCGTATGCTGTCCATTTGATCTGATAATTTAAGTTCGCACTTACTGAAACTGACTCATTTCGCACTAAAACTTTGATTACTAAACACCTGCAACAATCTAATTTAGATTGTAGTTTTCCACTTTACTCAAGTCAATATCACAATCCAGATCACCTGCCCAGATTGCCCTTCTATACTCAATTTGTCCCTTGGGAATAATAACCAAAATGAAACCAATCATCGTGTGTTTATGATTTGTTGGAAAATCGCTTCGCGTATACTCTCCGATCACCGATCGCCTGGGAACTCCTGGTTTTGAGTGCTCTCTAACATGGAAGCATGTGACAGTACATATGCACTTTTGCTCTGTTTTCGCAGGTTGAACAAAGAGAAAAAAGAACAGGTAGAGAGAAAAAAGGAGAGGCAAAGGTTTTTTGTACATAGACTGTCGGAGAGACTGTACATTAATTGCACTTTGCGAAAGAATAGGTTCCATAAAGTCCCATTGGTCAGGGTTGCAATCTGACGGGCTGGCCGGCGGGTCGGCCCGAAGGAAAAAAAAACCAGGGCCCGGCCCGGCCCGGCCGGCCGGCAATTAATTAATATTTGAACGTTGTTTTTTTTTCGACGATTTTTTGCGTTTATCAACCGATTTTTCTCCTTTTTTTGTCGCGAATTGCCTGATAATCCCTATTTTTCATAAAATAATCATTTTCAGAGCAAACGACAGCCTACGGCTCGCCTAGAATTTTAGAATTTTAGAATTTCAGAATTTTAGAATTTTAGAATTTTAAAATTTTAGAATTTTAGAATTTCAGAATTTTTGAATTTTTGAATTTTTGAATTTTAGAATTTTTAGAATTTTAGAATTTTAAAATTTTAGAATTTTAGAATTTTAGAATTTTAGAATTTTAGAATTTTTAGAATTTTAGAATTTTAGAATTTTAGAATTTCAGAATTTTAGAATTTTAGAATTTTAGAATTTTAGAATTTTAGAATTTTAGAATTTTAGAATTTTAGAATTTCAGAATTTTAGAATTTTAGAATTTTAGAATTTCAGAATTTTAGAATTTTAGAATTTTAAAATTTTAGAATTTTAGAATTTCAGAATTTTAGAATTTTAGAATTTTAGAATTTCAGAATTTTAGAATTTTAAAATTTTAGAATTTTAGAATTTCAGAATTTTTGAATTTTAGAATTTCAGAATTTTAGAATTTTAGAATTTTAGAATTTTAGAATTTTAGAATTTTAGAATTTTAGAATTTTAGAATTTTAGAATTTAATTCTTCAATAATTTCTGTTTTTTCTTAAATTCGAACGGGCCGAACCGGCCGAACCGGCCGGGCCGGGCTGGCCGGGGCTTCCGGCCGGGCCGAGCCGGAGAAAAAATAATCTCGGCCCGGCCCGGCCGGTTGCAACCCTGCCATTGGTAACCTGACTTTTTTTTCAATTTTTACGATTTGAAAATTTTCTGAACGTTAGAGAGCTCCACGCCATAAAATGAGTTAAAACTTCAAAAAACATCCTTGTACAAGGTGGCGCACAATTTCTCGGTCTGATAAAAACGGGTAAATCTTTGGGCACAAGTATCTTGGAAACACGACAATTGATAGATATATAATTTGAAGTTTGATTCAAAGCTACTGAAGAAATTATTTGAAACTTGGTCAGTTTACTAATGAATTTTTTGAATTTTAGCAATCTCAATTTGAGCCCGGTACAACGCTTTACTCCTATTCTTGTGCAAACTTTATTCCGAGTATATATGCGCCACCGTGTATAGAAAAGAATATCCAACTTCAAATGAAAACGGTTCAAAATCTAAAGTTTGAATAACTGTTCCCCTTTCGCAGTGCCTAAAAATTATGGCACGAAATTCATTTATGCTGGTAGGAGCCATTGAAATCGATGTCCCGAAGATTCATAAACCGTATTAGGGCTTTAAATAAGGTCTGATTTTTTTCTGAAAACCCAAAACTAGTGTGCATCGTAACAGGAAGCAAATATTTCTGAACCAAAATTTTCAGCTTTTAAAATGAATCTGACCCTCCAAAATTTTGAAACAAAACTCATTCTGAATATTTTGGAATAAAGTTAGACCATCTTGAAACCTATAATAGGAGACCCCCACTGCCAGTTTTGATGTTTTGATGTCTTTGACAGGGACCGAGATGAATTGCCTCAAAGTTAAAAGTTAGAGGGCCTTTCTAATAAGGGTTTTACGATAATTTCAACATTATC